ACCTACTAAAAATGATAATCTTACACTAAAGGACTAACATTTTAGGGAACATCGATATAAAGTTGTTGCCAAGATGACAATATTAATTAAAAGTAAAAGTCAACAGAACACAACCATAAAATTTAAAAAAGGAACATTGGTTACGTACAATAACAAGTACTGTGGCATTTTGAATTACAAAGGTAACCAATTTTCTTGAAGAGACGATGAACTTTAACTTCGGTCGGAAAAATTTTAACTGACTCGCTTCAGAAAAACGCGTTTTGTCTAGTAAGAACTAGTTTTAACTGATATTAAATTTTGAGCATTAGTTAATTTTAGCTGTAATAAAGACATTTGGTAAAACCTAGTTCTAACTAGAGAACTATCTAAAAACTGGTTTTAACTGTGACATATATTTGTTGACTTTTCGGCTGCTTCCTTATTTAAGTGTTTTTGCAACATAAAGAACAAAAATTGCTTTATTTTGCTGATCCATTTATTTATAGGTATACTTCGTTTACTTTCTGTAGCGATGTGACCTTCCGTTTGACCGGCGCAAAGTAGAAAAGAACAGCACTAGGCCAGAAAAGGAAGGAGACAACTCTCGGCCAAACTCTTAACCGGCGAGGAGCGTACAATCCGTACAGTACTGCACGGAAAAGTTGACCATTTTATCCACTACAATTGTATTGCTCAAATGTGTTGTTATTGGTACTATTTACTACTGAAAATATCAACGAGATGTTTAATTATATTTGAAGACATATTAAAAGCTTTAACGCTTGTTTTCGACTCACACTACTATTCATAATTGAACAAAACTTTTTGCAGGTAAGTACTGTATGAAAAAGCATGTTTAATGAACAAGAGTCGAGAGTATTGGGATCCGTCAAATGAGAGGAGCCTAAAAACATAGCGCCGATTAGAGAAAATTTATCATAGTTCCTATAGTGTACCGTGCAATTTCCAAGTTTTTAAATTACGATAAAATGATAAGTATTGACACAATATGTGATTGGGCTGATACAAAGCCTTGGAAGGAAATTTCGTTGAAGGTGAGCGTGTTTTTAATGCCAATCAGATTATAAAATTCGGAAATAACAAATCCGGAAGTTAGCCTTCAAATTCCGTCAAGTTTACTGCCTACTTTTTACAAACTTCAGATTTAAAAAGTGATTCACGTTATATTATTGCAACTTTGTTGTATTGCAACAGGTAGGTTCTTAACCTCAAAATACTTATATCGTATCATTAGAATTGTGTTAAATCAATTACACAGGAATAAATAATTTCTCACTTTATAATTTTAGTATGATTCTAGTTTTAAATATTAAGGTTATGGCTGATGGTAAATACTTGCAGAAATATAATCATGTACATTAAAATGACGTGAACAAATTTTTATTCTGGAATTCACTTCTTTGATACCTACTGCTTTTATTCAAGCTTCTATTAGTTTACTTTTTTCTCTAATTTTCCGAATATATTTTTTACATATATAAAACGGTTAGTTTTTATTGGAAAGTAGTTAATGTAGGTGAAGAGTGAAGATCTATGTCTGAAGTGCTATTGCAGCTTTTCATTGAACATATTAACTTTTTATTTGATTTAACTTTAGAAGAAAACTTCGTCGACTCCATCATCAAAAAAAATTTTACTTTTTTAACGTGTTTTATTACTTTAATAAACAATTTTACAATTTGCGTGCACAGTTCCTATGAAAATTTTTCCCTCATTCGAGTTATAAATTTTGCCACCAGATGGTGTATGCCCATTTGACGGATCCCAATATGAGCTTTTTTCTCCCTACCTACGATTTTGCCAGCGCGCATCCAAGACATCGCTAGAGAAAGTAAATGAAGTATAGTTTTCTTTAAAATTCCAAGCGGTGCCGAGCAGGCTGCTATCTGCAATACGTATTTAAATACGAATATATTTAAGATGCACGTAGCCATATTTCTGTCATGGAAAACTATCTGGAAGGATTACAGTTGCGTCTGCATATCCTCGCGCGGTTATTTGTTACGAATAAGAACTGCACTGTGGTGTGCATAATGATAACATTATTCACCGAACAAGGGAATTAGGTCAAGCAGACGAGCTCACTAAATTTACTTACGTAAAACCTACAAGAAGAATGGTAGAATTTCTTGCGATCCTGGCACAGGGTGCACTTAATTATTTTCTCCAGGCGAATCTCGATCTGTATCAAATATTTATAGGAATGTACCAGACTGTTATCCTGCAGTTGGTATTTGCCACACGATTAGAAAGAAGTAATAATAAGTCTCCTTGTATATTATACAAATTTTCGTCATGCGTCTATTTGACTAAATCGCCAGATTGATACTGGACCATAGTGCTTAATAAGGCCCCTTGCATACAAACGGTCAATCCGCCGATCGGCTATTTCACCGACGGGTAAAGAAAAACCGAACTTATCATGTTACCGGCGGTCGGACATTTAATTTCTGATCGGCTGGTAGTTCCGTATTGTCATTGAAACAAAGCCAGCGACTAATTTGCCGATTAGCGACCTTGTGTTCACCGTCGTAATTTTATTTCTGCAAAATACCCCGAAAAAGAACAAATGTAGGGACAAATTACAGAGACAGAAGAGTGATGCTTAGTTTGTATAAACAGCAACAGGCAGTTATAAAGGTGGGGCTGCAACGTAGAGAAGTAAATATTAGGAATAACAGATAAGTTAGGAAGTTAGGACAGAAGGAGTAGTAGGGATATAAAGCAAGGAATAAGATAACGCAGGATCGAGTCGCCTTCAATAAAAAGCAATCACTTCTATGCTCGAACGGTTAATTTAGAAATTCGAAATAGGTTGTTAGAGGTGTATGTTTGGAGTGCGGCGCTGTACAAGTGCGAAACGTGGACGATGGGCGCTAGAGAAAAGAAATGGTTAGAAGCGTTCGAAATGTGATGTTATAGGCGAATGATAAGGATACCGTGATAGAGAAGGTTAGAAATGAAGAAGTATTAAAAAGAATAGGAGAACAGACGACTTTATGGAAGTCAATAAGAAATAGGCGAGATAGGTTGGTAGGACACCTTCTCAGGCATGAAGGTTTAGTCAGAGACATAATAGAGGCAGAAACAAGAGTTAGGAGGGGTAGATGTAGCCCTAGATTAGATTAGATTACTGTTGGCAGTTAAGGATGCGGGATGTTCTAGTTTTAGGGAAATGCGAAGATTAGCTCAAGATAGGAGGAGGTGACTGTCCAACCAGTCTTAGGACTGACGACCTTTTGCTGATGATTATGTTTTATAAATGGCTCGGACGATTTTTACGGAATTTAAACGTGACGATTGCAAATTTGATGGCCAAAGAATGGGCACGACAGAAACGACATGAATACGGCACTACAGGTGTGAATCAGCCTTTACTTGTTCAACTGAATTGACGAAGCAGTCTGTGTACCTACGTGAAAGACTATTGTAACTTAATCCGTTTCTACTATTTGCACCAATTTATTTTGAATAGTCATGAACAAAATTACAATGTAGATAAGCGAAAATCAAAAGTAACTTTTATTACGTTACCAACAAGTGAAATATTACAATGACTCACTAGTCATAAAATTTATTTATTGTGTTTATATATTGGAAAAAGAGGACGTAAAATTTTTGAAAAGATACCTTTCCACGGAATAACATTGAGATATTGAGGTCAACCTTCTTGTCCGATTGTTGTGGGAGAACAAGGAGAATGTTAGTTCCTTCGGGAACAATGAAGCAAGGAGGATTCTCAAATTGAACTATATTTTATTTGTACGGTTTACCATTCGGGTTACGTTTGGGAACAGAAAGCATTAGTAAAAGCATCCTGTATGCGGAGAATGATCTGAAATTCGTCATTTGAAAACTGCTTACCTTCTAGATGTGACGAAAACTCAGTGAAATTTGAGAAAATCAAGTAAATCTTCGCTGTAATGACTCATAGTTTCCGAGATACTTTAATGTTTGTTTGATTTAAAAGTAAATCACTTAAGTTAATCTATTATTTTATATTAATTTTACTTCTGGGTGATAACTGGCAGGCGCGGATAGAGTAGTTGATTTCAATGGGTCTATTGCTTATTCGTCGAACGCTGGTTAATACTAGTGGTACATAGGTTGGTTTGTGGGGCGCGGCGTTTTGACGAGATCCAATAAATTGAAATCGTGATTCCGGCAGAATATGGGCCACCAAGAAGTTTTCGTTTTGCTTGATTATTATGTACTAATACATATTTTTAAAAAGAAGTTTTTTTATGTCCGCGAACGATTAATTTAGAAATTAGAAAAAGATTGTTTTAAAGGTGTATGTTTACAGCGTGGCGTTGTACGGGTGCGATATATGGACGGTGCTGGGAGGAAAAGAAAAGGCTAGAAGCTTCCGAAATGTGGTGTTACCGGCGAATGATGAGGGTACCGTGGATAGAAAAGGTTAGAAATGAAGAGGTGTTGGAAACAATAGGAGAAGTGAGACTGAAGAAGATAAGTCAATAAGAAATAGGCGAGGCAGGAAGGTAGGACATTTTCTCAGGCATGAAAGTCTAGTCAGGGACATATTAGAGGCAGATACGGGAGTAAGGAGAGGTAGAGGTAGACTTAGATTAGATTACTGTTCGCAAATAGTTAAGGATGTGGAATGTTCTAGTTTTATGGAAATGCGAAGATTAGCTCAGGATAGGAAAGAGTGAAGGCCTGTGTTCAACCACTGTTAGGACTGACGACTTTATGATGATGAGACAGTTTTAGTTCGATTGAGATGATTAGTTACATAAATAATTTAGTCGAGTAGAGTTAATTGGAAAAACAGCTTCTTGAATGTTAAATTTAAGTCATTTACAGAAATTTGAAATTTTTGACTTTGGTGAATTGACCACCGCCTTAGGTTTCAGCTTTGTTAAGTATTTTCCAATTGCAGAAAAACATCCTAAATACAACGAATAACTACAAAACTTTTGACATTTTTTTTTTCTTTATAAATCTAAGTAGGTAAAATATGAATTACAGCTAATTATGACAACTATTTTAACCTAGTCAGTTTTCAGAAAGGGGGGGGTTTTATACAAATAAATTTTCGTTTCAGATTTCTCATTATTTTCGACGAAGTTTTTATTGAAAAATAATTCAAAAATGGCGCAAGCGTTTATCACCAAAAATATGGAAACATACCGATGGCCGGAAATAAGTAAAAGAAAAAGGTTGGTTTAAGATTTAATTTACCTTTGAACACATTATTAAGGAAGATTTCATCTAATCATTTAATTAACATTCTGACGAAGTCAATTATTTAAACAGATTTTTAGTGAAAGAGTAAGGTTTTCATTGATAGTACTGTTTGAGGATTCAGGTTTGATGAGCATGATCCAGCACTGACATTGCTCCTTTGGTGAGTTCTCAGATAGTAGAACCCTTTCAATATTGTACACCCTCACTTAGTTTTCTGAGGATGTCAACCAAGAAAGTTGGCGAAATTTTAGATAAACTACCAAAAGAGGGAAGGCAATCCTGGGCCACGGACCATAGAAGAAGAGGGATTGATATTAGTATATGATACTCTAATATTGAATCCTGAATTCAAAAACGTCGAGTCATTTAGAAATACATTGAATTATGTAGATAATTGATTTGCATTATTTTCTGGGGATTAATTAAATCTCATCGTCACCATCAGGTCATCAGCCCTAAGACTGATTGGACACGCACCTCCACTCTTTCCTATCCTGAGCTAATCTTCGCATTTCCCTAAAGCTATCGGGTTGTTCGGAAAGTCATTTCGTTTTTTCCCGACAGAGGATTTAATTGTATTCTTTTGCATCCAACTTCACATTTAAGCCGTATAATTTTTATATGCTTTGAGAGCTCATATAGCAAGGCTTGGTGCCCTTTTAAATATGGAGAGCGTTAAGCAGCATTTTCGACATATCTTAGTTTTACTACAGAAAGGGTAAAAATGCTGTTCAAGCCAGAAAGAAATTGATTGATGTGTATGGAGAAGGAGTGTTGATAGTACGCCAGTGCCAGAACTGGTTCGCTAAATTTCGATCCGGCAATTTTGATGTCGAAGATGCACCACGTTCGGGAAGGCCGGTTGAAGCTGATAAAGACGCGATAA